ATGAACAGGCCTAATGTAAGGATCTAAAGCCAGCGGCACACGGTGCTTGTTTTCTTGCTGGATTGCTTGCTGGATGAAAATACTGCGTTCTGATTGGTATATTTCCATCCATCTTCGGAAATGTACCAATCAGAACGCAGTATTTTCATCCAGCAAGTAATCCAGCACGAAAACAAGCACCGTGTGCCGCTGGCTTAACAGTAAGGACCAATAGTTAAGCCAGCGGCACATGGTGCTTGTTTTCGTGCTGGATTGCTTGCTGGATGAAAATACTGCGTTCTGATTGGTGCATTTCCATCCATCTTCGGAAATGTACCAATCACAACGCAATATTTTCATCCAGCAAGCAATCCAGCACGAAAACAAGCACCGTGTGCCGCTGGCTTAAGCGCTCAGTGAGTGTTTTGTTTTCTGAACGCAACCATAACACCCTAAAACTAGAGAACGTACACGTCATTATATAAACTGCCTCGTAAAGGTAGGAAATAGATATAAAAAGAGCTATGAAGGTCTTTCTATTTCCAGCACTACGGATGACAACCGAAACAGCCCGATGATGCACGATTCTACTTACATAGTTACTTTCTTTATGTAGACAGGAAATTTCTTTCTATTTCTTCGTCTATCATTTTACGTAGTTCCATGGCAGATAATACTTTACACCGGTTGGTTATGTCCATAGACATAATAAGAATAGACTGCGTGTGAGGGCCAAAACTTGAAGATCAAGTAGAAAGAGACGGACAATAGGTGCCGAGTATCTTTCTCTCTCACACAAGGAAAGGAGTGGGGAAAGAGTGGGGAGCGAAAAAGAGTAATGAAACAGCTGTATGCGGTTAAAAAGAGGTGCGTGATCGGTTCCCAGTTTATTTGCTGCACGATTCAGGAGATGTTCTGCTTTATTTATTTAAAGTTAGTATCAACGTATTGTTACGCGCTTAATTTCCCTGCGATCACACGCGCATGTCGGTCATAGCAGGATTAAGGGTAGCGTGAAGGTTAGAATCACATTGGAAGATCTTCTCTAACTGCTCTGTCCGCGTTTCTCTGCAGCTTTATTTCTCTACTTTCCTTCTAATGCCTCGGACATTCGTTTCGCATTTTCATTTAAGAAAAACTGATTATTCTGTCAGTGTTGTGTCAGTGCTGGTGTGTTGCTAAAAGTTTTTGTTGACTACAGTTAATCGAATCCGTCGACGCACCATAGCATATACATATTCACGGAGAAAACAAGGAATAAAATAATTTAAAAAATAGTTACTACGTGCTGTATTTGTGGTGTGGAAGAAAACCCTCTTTATCCACGATCATTTCATAAGTAATTTAAAAAATATATTTGTATTCAATATGAATGTAAACATATCGTAATTAATAATATATATACACATATATATAAGTGAAAATATATATGTAAAAAATTTACAGAATCCCAAAAAATGAAGAAATGCGAAAAAAATGGTTTCACGTTATTGGCCGTGATGTATCTTACAAAGGAGTAAAAATATGTGACCACTTTACAAAAAATGACTATCATGAAATGAATGAATATAAACAAAATAAAATATTGAGAAAGACTGCAGTTCCATTAATTTTCGTGGAAGAAAATTGGTGAGAATGTTAAATTATAAATAAGAACATACATGTAATAATCTTACAGGAAGATGCAATAAATCCATTACATTGAAATATTTTGTTTTGTAGTAAACATGTGGAGAAGGATACAGATACCAATTTAAGCACAGATATAAATACAAATACAGCAGAAAATAATGACATAGACAATGAAAGAAATAGGTAAGAAACACTAAAGATACACTAAGATATACACCAAAAGGGAAAATAAAGTTATCGTAATATATAAGATAAAACATTAATGTATGTGAATATTTTTTGTTTTATAGTGAAAATACGAGTAAGAATTCCATTACGGACACAGATGCAGATATACATACACATGTAGCAGAAGATGTAATAACATAAACATCCATAGCAACCATAGTAATAATCACAGTAGAAAAAGGTGAGATATCTAAAGATTAAAATAATTTTTCCTATCGAGTATTATTCCAACAAATTATAAATTATCAAAATTTTATTTTCAGGAAATTGTCGCAAGAGAATTTTAGAAACTCAAAAATTAAAAAAATATTTGTAAACACTTCTAAACATGCTACAAAATGCTTCCGTAAAACAGATTTTGTGTCTGATGCAAAATGGGAGCAGTTTGTAAGATATGTGTCATATATTCGAAATGAAACAAAAAATATGTGGCAAAAGAAAAACCTATGCAGAAGAAAGTTTTAACTTATAAAGATTTGCTTCAGGACCTGAAAAGTAAAAACTTTATAACAAATAATGGTATAGATGCAATCAAAGTAAGTTGAGTTTAGCTATTTTCCATTCGCAGAAAGATTTGAAATTCACATTGTGCACAATGTTTATTCTTTTATAAGAAAGTTCATGATAACTCTCCAATCACAATGTAACTTTATCATAATATTGACTCTTATAGAAAGGTCCATGATAATGAAGCAAATGATAGAACAATACTTGGTTTCTACATCATGTTAAAAATATGATATAACAAATGTTGTGCGTATACATATACCCTCTCAATCTACAAATCTACAAATGCACTAATGATGTTATATCTTCGTTCTAAATAAGTTATTATGTATATGTCTATGCGTACAACCATTTGTCTCCTTGATTTCTTCTGTTTTTATATCTATATTTTGTACTTCCTTTTTCTTTATTTAGGATATTTTGTCACCTGTTATGCAACAGTTGCTACTTACAATGTTAAATAAGAAGCGAAAAAAGTCGTTCCCCGAAAGTTTAAAAAGTTTTGCATGCACGTTACATTTTCATTCGCCTGCAGCATATTTGTATGTAAGAAAAATGTTTTTAAAAAGTTTACCTCATCCCAGTACACTGCGCATGTGGACGCAGACAATTCGTAGCAATTTCGGTATATCTGAACAATCGTTTAAAACTAAACTCGATAAGGTGCAAAATGCTAGAGAGAAAGGAAAGAACTTAATTTTCAATATAACTTTTGATGAAATGAATATTAAGAAAAAAGTTGATTGGGACGGCAAAGAATTACACGATTTTATTGAAACGGGTATTAAAGATAGTAAGTCTGACAGTCTGCCACTTGCTACCCATATCCTTCTTTTTATGTTAGTGTGCATAAATGATCATTTTAAAATCCCAATTGCATTTTATGTTATCGAGGCATTAAATGGTAAGGAAAAAGCAAATTTGTTAAATAACATTTTAAGTATTCTCCATGAAAAAGCAATTTACGTTGTTAGTATTACATTTGATGGAGCAACTTCTAATATTGCAATGTGCGAGATACTAGGCGCACAGTTAAAACATGTCAATTTTGAACATATTGTTCCATATTTTAAGCATCCTATTAACAAATCTAAAAATATTTATATTTTTTATGATGCATGTCACATGTTAAAGCTTGTGAGGAATGCAATTAGTAAAGGGATTATTAAAGATAAAGACAAAAATGTAATAAGTTGGAACTTTCTGAAAGAATTAGTAAATGTGCAAACTGTGGAAAAATTACATGTTGCCAATAAAATGCGAAAAAGACATATACAGTTTTTTAATGAAAAGATGAAAGTTAATCTAGCAGCACAAACATTAAGTAATTCTGTGGCTGATGCATTGACGTTTTTAGAATATGAATTAAAAGAACCAAGATTTATAGGAGCTTCAACTACTGCAACATTTTGTAAAACTTTCAATGACATATTTGATATCTTAAATTCACGTAACATATACAATAAAACTGAAAATAAACATGCAATAACAAGAAATACATTATGTACTATTAAAGATAAAGCTAAAACTTTTATGCATTACATTGCTTCCTTAACAATAAATGATGTTCCCGTATTACAAAGCATCCTCAAAACAGGTTTCATTGGATTTATAATTAATTTGCAGAACATTATTTTATTAGCAGAAGAATTATTTAATGTAAATGCAATAAACTTTCTTCTTACTTATAAATTATCACAGGACCATATCGAAACTTTTTTTTCATTGATTAGAAGAATGCATGGTTGGAATAATAATCTTAGCGTAAAGCAATTTAAGGTGTCATATAGAAAGATATTGCATTTAGCGAATGTGTCAGTCTCATTGAATGCTAATTGCATTCCACAAGATGATACTGTATTGCTAACACTTTCACATGAATCTACGAATGATATACAGACAATTAACGAACATGTAGAACAAAATAAAGATACTATTTTAGAAGAAAGATCTTTAGAAGATGAACCTTCAGATCTTATCTTTATTGAGCATAATTATGTATTACATGATAAAAAAGTTAATGAATATGCTGCAGAAACCATTGCTTACATATCAGGATATGTTGCTAAAACTATTATGAAAAGAATTAATTGTTCAGAATGCAAGCAATTACTTTCAAATAATACATATAAACAGTTGAATATAGAGCGTACCAGTAAACTTATACAGATAAAGGATCGAGGCAACTTATGTGAAGCATCAAATGATGTGATTACGATATGTAAGATAGCATATAAAATAGTACGATGTAATCAACACAGACTATTTACAAATAAAAATATTCTTGCACATCTCATATGTGAGGCTGTACGCTCCATTCCTGTGCATATATTTGACTATAATAATCATATATTCGATCAAAGTCCACTTTTTGATCACCGAAACCAAATAATTAAATTAATTTTGAAAACATTTTTTAATTTAATTTTAAAACATGAAAGTACATCATTCGCAGATTCGATACAACGAGTTCGGATGAAAAATAATAAAATAACCTTGTTCAAAAATCAATAAATAAACAACAACTTATATAAAAATATATATATATTTTTTTAATAAAGATTATATTACTTTGTAATATTGATATTTTTATTACAACTTTTCCACACATATTCATGTATAAAATATTTAATCGTTTCAATATAAATGTTTACACGTACTTTTTAATAGTTGAAACACATTTATCTCTAAATTTTAAACGGTTTTATTTAACATTACACAACTTTTTTTAACCTAACATCATGTATATAGCACGTTATATATTACTGCGCATCACTGCGCATGCGTGAGCAGAGAAAGAAAGATACTCGGCACTTGCTTTCTGTCTCTTTCTACCTGATCTTCAGTCTTCACAAGAGTACACGCGCAGTCTATTCTTACTATGTCTATGGTTATGTCCAATCGTGCTATGTCGAATTGGGTGTCTCCCATGTTGGTGCACGTGAAAGCATAACTGAAGTGCTTAACCTGATTTGAGTTTGTTTATCTCGCCAAGTTCTGAATTAGTGGTGTGATAAATATACACTGAATGGATTCACTGTTATTATTGTATATACATTACAAGATGTTACGTTTATCGTTGTTTTTATCATAATTGCAAAACATGCAACAAATTTAAATTTACATGTGTACTTCTATGATTTATCTCATAAAAAATGATCGCGAATGTGTTTAGTGTAATTTTATCAGCCTGTAGTTTTTTATATACTTGTTATATTTTGTGCTGTTTGACATATTTCCTGTCAAGTCACGATGTACACATTCATTCAGGTATTCAATTTATTCAATTTATTTATATTATTTTTTGTTAAAAATCCTAACTTATCTTATAGTTCATAACTAATATTTTCTACAAACCTTTCATTATTAATATTCGTTATAAAATTACAGACGATTACAATTATTGAAGATAATTTCTATATATTTCAGATGATAGTACAGAACAAGATGCTCTCTGGAATCTCTTCTTGGATAAGTTGTTACTTATTATTTTTATCCTTCAACATACTCTCATGGCCAGTAATCAATTCAAAGAAATATGCTGCAAGTTACATATAGAACATCTTAGTAGAAGCATTTATAATGCTTGCAATTCAGCTGTAATTCATTTCCTTATCAACAATTGGAAGCAAGTTCCATTTCTTTATTGTTGGCATTTTAACACCTCTAGCAATGCTATTTGGATGCTTTTTAATGGCCTTCATGTATTTGCCTGGAGCTTTATTTACAGTGGCTGCATCATGATGGATATTGCTGAATTACATGGACTAAAACAAGTCTTCTACAGGTAATAATAGGCATTTTGATTATAAACCTTAAATTTTTTTATATTTATTCAGGTAAAAAAATGAACATGATAGAACTTGGATATAAAGATAAACCTTACGACAATAACTATGTTGCTAATGGCAATAAGAATTTTGTTGTATTGTATCGTTAGTTTATTACTTTTGATTTACAGAGTATCTGGGAGAAATAGTCCTTTAGATAATAAATCTAAAGGGTTGAAGCGATATATGAAACATATGAGACATCCTAGCTTCACTGGTTTCCTTATTGTTCTATGGCTATATCCTTTTATGAGGTAAAATATTTTCTCTGCATTTTAGCTATATATCATTTTAAATATATATACATACTTATTATGCACTATATAATCTGCATCTTGATTTGGTACATATAACTAAACTTATACTTATATCATTGACCAAAGGTCAAGAGTTCTTTTTGGTGAGAAACATTTTCTTCCTAAGTTTCTTTATCATCAAAAATAAATTGTCTAAGAGTTTAAAATGAAATACTTCATATATTTATAAAGAATATAAGATACATTTTTTGAACATATATATTAACTCTGTTTAAAACTCTCTTTGGAGTTAATCTTTATAATAATCATCTTTACAAATTAATCTTTATATCAATTTTTATATTGTTCTTCACAAACACAATTTTGTATAATTCATTTATTAGATGGTCTAATAGGCATAATGAAAGATATAAAAAAAATTAATAAAAAGCAAGATAGTGAAAGCAACTAAAGATTAATAATATTAATGTGATAAATATCACATTAATATTGTTAATCTTTAATTAATTACTGTCATTACCTATGCACTATTTTTATATTCTTTCTGTCCTTCCTATCAAATAGTAATTAGTAGTTACTGTTATTTGCTACAACTGTCAAAAATTGCAAATTTGACAGTTAAATTAAGTTCAGATTTTTTTACGACGATATTTAAACAAAATCTGTTTTCCTTACAGTATAGATCGAATGTTATTGGCCACTGTGTTGACAGGATATATGATGGTAAGATGGACTACAGATTCCGAGGATTATAGCTATCACGTCCGACATTTCCAACAAAAACAAAAAGAATTATCGTAATCTTCGATTTTGTTTGCTATTAATAAAAGATATATTTTATCAATATATGTCATATACGCACAATTGACAAAAATTACATTAATTATGATGTAATCAAAAGAAATTTTCAACCGTACATTTTGTTAACCGTACATTTTCAACCGTACATTTTGGTAACCGTACATTTTGTTATTTAATCATTAAAACATTAGTTTATGTAGTTAATTTATTTTAAAATGTTAACATGTTCTAAAATATAACTAAGAAAAGATAGGAATTTAGTCCTTTTTCTTCCAAAGAAACTTATAATATTTATCATAAACAATAAAATTAAAAAGAAACGAATGAAAATGAGAATAAGTAAGAGAGATTGATTTAAATAAGCGGAAAATTAAAGAAGGAAAATAAGAGAGATTGCGTAACAAATCTAGAAAAGCACGCGCACTTATTTTAATACAACAAATTCCAATGCATTGGGATCTCTTTGTTGAGGGAAGACTTTCGAGCTTATCTCGTAGTCTATTTTTAGAGACTGCGCACATGGAGAGATTTAGCGCCCTTTTATAAGCTTTCTCGGGGAAATTCAAGTGACTAAATCGAACCGTGAAGGTTCCATAAGTTGTATTGGTTTCGTTACATTGCGTCTTGTTTCGTAAGTCCAATTGATATCGAGTTCTCTTCTTTATTTATCGTTGTCTTCGGAATCCTGACGACATCTTTACCTGACAGTATTAGAAGATTCGAGCGCAATCTAATGCTGCCCGGTAAGATGTGAACAGATACTCCATCCAAACGCATGTGTTCATCTTGAAGAACACGTGCTTGGAAAGTTCTTGAGATATGCTTGAGAAGGACCTCCACGTCTATTATCTTCTTGCGGAGTTCCTTTCAGCTATAATTGAAAATTTAATTTGTATTAAAATCAAAAGATCACAAATTAATAATTGGGGTTTCTTAAAGCTAAACTAAACTTTCTAAGAGCTTAATTCAAATTTAGTCCTCATTGGAGATTGACAACTTAGTAACCATAAATAATATTATTTCAATGTAGATGGTTAATGACTGCGATAGAAGTCGAGAATATCTAGAAGGATATTCTCCGACGATTCAACCGACTGCTGGAGAATGCGCAGGGGAAATCGAAAAGAGAATAAAATACAAAGCGAGGTGCTTCTTTGGTAGGTGGGAGAGAAGAGGAGAGGGAAGGCACAAGCGGGGACAGGGAAGAGGCGTTTATTTATTGCAGGTATTAATATCGGACCCTGCTCGATGGTTACATAAAACTGGCTTCTGATCCTCCTGTCCCAAGAGGATCACACGAAGACAACTGGAGGAAACTAGTTAGAATCTCTTACTCTCTTTACACACGCTCTCTCTCTCTCTCTCTCTCTCTCTCTCTCTCTCTCTCTCTCTCTCTCTCTCTCTCTCTCTCAAATTTTCTCTTGGAAATTAACAGAAACAATGAAATCAGCACTCGATATTATTGAAGTTATGGAAAAAAAATCTTAATAAGTTCCAAAATAATTTTTGTGCGTTACAACTACAGAGAAATGCAGGAAAACTATATGAGGATGAATGAGGATTATTTTGCAAACTTCTGATGCGCAATAATTTTTCCCTTGCATTTCGCTTCATGTACATCGTGTATATCGAGAAATGGCTCGTTACCGCAGCCGCTGCATGCCTCTTCTTTCTCTCACTTTCTCGATACTTCTCATCCGCCTACCTGTATACTCTTCTGCCGCCATGTTTAAAATATTAAAACGAAGGTTCCTGCATTTATATGCAGGTGTCGTCATGGCGATACTCGTGAAAGCCGACTGGTCCCAAACTGGTCGTCGCACTAGCTTCTTCGAAATCTATAGAGTGGCGAGAAACTAATAATTCGTGTAACAACGCAAGGAGATTCCGCTAAATCGGTTTTTCGTCAAGAGTGCAACATTATGACGAAAACGTGTTTACATAAAAATATATTAACGAAACAGAATTAATCGTATTTTTAGGCCCATTTTATGTAATATTAAATCAAACTGGTATTGAATCAACTTTTTTGTAACAAATTACGTGCTGGTGTTTTTTGAGACTATTTACGCGAAGAAACGTTTGCCGAAAATTTTTATCGTAGGCTCAAAGATAATTGTGGGAAGCGTCGATTTGTAAAACAGCGAAGTCAACGTTTCAATGAATATTAGCCCACTTCGGAATTTTTTCCCGTCCAATGAGCTGTCAGCAAACACTTGTTCAAGCCGAGATCAATCTGTATCAATAACAAATATCAAGCCCGATAATCTCGGGATTGACGTCGACCGATCGATTTCGTGCCGTTTACTAAATAGAATTTTTCTTTAAAACTGCTATCTGATTTGAACGGAATGGATTAGTTCGTGATTCCTCTGGGCGTAATTACAACGTTACATGCGTGAAAATGACCAACAACCTCGTGTAGTTTTCAACTCTGACAAAAGTGTTATATAAACTTCGTACGAGTTAAAGCTAGAATATTATTTTATTATTTGAAATTAATTATTTTACACAAAACGAACAAGTTTTGCTCGCGCGCTTTTTAGTTTTTCTGAATTCTACTAAACATGAGAATACACACGCTCGCGTGCGCGTATAATCTATACGCGTATCTTTGTATCGTATTTTCGATTAATTAATACGAATTAATAATAGATAATATAGATATTACAGCTGTAACGTAAGAGCGATAAAGTTGCGTAAGATAACAACTGCTAATATAGTGCTTTCAGTCTGGCTAAGGTGACATCTTGTACACTGTGATATTATGACATTCAATACGAGTGTTCTATATGTACGCATTATACAGGCTTTGATAAGAAAATGTGAGTTCGATAGCAGTCTGCGCGAAATCGACCGTGTATTTACAGTCTCATCGATTCTATTTTTTCGATTCTTGTCGATTATTAGCTAGATTAACAAATTATAGCTAGATTAAAAATAGATTAGCAAATTAACATTAAATTCGAAAGAGAAAGAACAAAACCCGATTACATCGTAACGCCGATTTTATTGTACTATGAAATCGGCTATATTTGACTACATAATAGTTGTTTTGTTCATGTATCTTCAAGTGTTTTCAATCCTCAAGATTCTCAAGTACGTAGAGTATTGACGAGAAGTGCATCGGCATTGAAGTGCTCGAGGAATAACGAGGAAAGCATTCACACGTTTATATGCAATTTGAGAAACAGTTGATAAATTTATATAAAATATCTCTTCTGCACGTGCATGCGCGCGCGAGAGAGCTCGGAACGTATCGAGTGAAGTTGTCGGGACACTCTATATATATATATATATATATTGCGACTCGATCGAGTTCGCGGGAAGACCTTCGATTCCTTGCAGAAATGTGAGAGAAACAAAATGGATGCTGCTGAACCGTGTTGGTCAGCGACTCATTATGAAACGCGACATCGCGTCGCGAATGCAAATCGATCGCGAACGATCGTCCGATCAACAACACGCACCGCACAAGTGTTGTGCATTAAAATCCACGAATAAATCCCCGGTGCTCGCAACCACTGGTCAAAATGAAAGAGTTTATTTCCAAACGGCATTTGGACTTACATTTAAAAAGATGTTTTTCGCCATATATTGCAAGTATATTGCAACTCGATGTGTGTGTGTGTGTTTCGATTCGATTAAAGTTAATAGTAGGAGAGAGTCAGTGTTTTCATGAAAATACTTCTCATTTAGTACTCGTTGACCGCGTCGTGATAGACTCGAATATCGTTCTTTATTATCGGACTGCAAAAACTCTTTTTATATAGTGTATACGTATATTAACCGTATTTACGCATTTCTCGCGACGAACAGAACAGGAATGAAAGAGAGAGAGAGAGAAAAAAGAGCGAGCGAGAGAGAGAGAGAGAGAGAGAGAGAGAGAGAATGAGCGGGAGAAACAGTGACAGAAAAACACAGAAGGGCGGAGGGAACGAACGGAGGATACCGTTGCATAAGCTATATTTAACCGCACCTGCTGGCGCCAGACTACTCGCTTGCGCATGCGCGCATCGCTATACGTGGCGGCGACGCGACACGTTCGACGCGTCGCTCGTTCGGTTGGACTCAAGTTAGAGATGGTTCCTCCGTTTTGTCTGTCTATTCAGCCGGCCGGCCGGTCGGCGAAACAGGTTAACATTACCCAAACATTTCTATCGCGAGGGAATCATCCGGGATTTTTCCGGCGTTACATAGCGAATATAGCACTAGAATTCATTCTTACTGATGATATTCCGCTCACATTTGGCGATGAAAGCAACCCGAAGCACATTGAAAAAATTGTGCACCCTCGGAGAGATTTGAATATCTTTTTTCTTTCTCAATACGTCTCAAGACGCATTGCCGATATCCATTTGGAGCATTCGCCTCTGAGTAATTCTTAGAACATAAATTTTCTTATTGAATATCGAATGCGTTTCAAGATGCGTCGGAAGTATTAGAAACTCTCTGCTTCTGCATGTGTTTCCATTTATGCGTTCTTGGATTATAAATATTTTTCGGACACGCCAGCAGCACTCATGCAACATATTACAAATACAAGTTGAGATCAGGACACGGGAAATATTTTGCCCGGGGGCGCCAATGGGACTCATTACGACTCTGATATCTAGTACATGTAAAACAAGAGTGCTAAAACAAAGACTGTTTAATAATTCAGTTCATTCACAGGGGAGAATGATCTCGAAGTGGAAATATCAGGGTCTCTGCAATGATGTACTAATGTCGCATTCTAAAGAGCAGAATCACGTTAACAGAGAGCCACTCTTCGGCGATGAATCACTCTTAAATTTTAGCGAAATAGAGATCAATTTTAGGATTGTCTTCCGCTTCTTCTTAAATAACATGCCAAAGTGAAGAAATTAATGCGACATATATATATATATATAGAAAATTTCTACGTCCGAAGTAAAATGTGTCCGTAAAATTCCGATGAATATTTAACACGACGAAATACACACGATAAAACACGGAAATAATTTCGTAGAACCGCTAGAGAATAGTACATTTAATTTAATTAACCACTGTGCCATCGTTACTGGGTATGTTGTTTGCAAAATGTACTAAATATAAGGGAAATAAAAAATATTTAAGCTTGACTTGTTAATGAATCAATATTAATAAATACATTGATGAAAAAAACAGAAATATAAAAATTATGTTGCTAACTTGTTTCAACTCTCTATATCATTGAAACGAATAAAAAAAAATTAAACAATTAATCCTAACATAAGTAATTCAGTCTGTTCTTTA